GAACTCGGTGCGCCCGTATCCGAGAGGGTGCCCTGGAGCCAGGTGCGTCGCTTCATTTTCCTCCAGAGTTCTTTACGATTATTGACCTTTTTGCGGGCACTGTCAACGGTATCCTCAGAGATATTCGCTGCACCTGCCTCCAGCTCTCGTTCTTCCTCCGCGAGTAAAGTGATGCGCAGATTATGAGCATGCTGGCAGAGAGCGAGAATGTGGGCATCACGAAGATCAGGGGATGGAAAATGCGCGGCTAGAGCAGGATAATAACGAACAGCGAGTCGCACGCGTAACTCGTCACCAGCGCGCCATGCCCGAAGAGCCTGGAGGGTTCTGAAGTGCTTGGCCTCCGTTGACTCCGCCGGCTGAGACGCTAATTGTGACCGAACCTCTTCAGCGACTTCAAACATCAGGTTCTTGATGCGGCCCAATCGGTCCCAGGGGTTCAAGTCCATGACGTAGAGGGCAGAAATCGCGGGATCGAGGATGTCCCGAAAGAGGGGGTGACGGGCCAGCCACTTCGGGAGCCTTTTTGGGTGCCTCCAGGGGCTTGAAGGTGCTGAGGGTCACAACCACGGGGATGTGGTCCGAGACCATGTTCGACTGTAGCCGTCCAAGTGTTTCCCCTCTGACAGTAAGATCGGCCAGCAGCGCAGGCGGCAGCGTGCAGTAAGCTCGATCAAGACGTGCAGTGTGAACCATTGTGCCCTCCCTGACCTCCCGCCTTGTGTCCTCTGATTGGTGCAGTTCGGTCCACTGTGCGCTGTGCCGAAAGAAAGGCTTCGTGTGCGAATCATCTCCAGATGACCATCCAGCGCCGTCCGCTCTCAAACGACCGTCAGCGGACAGCGCAAAGTTCCAGTCGCCTATTAGAACAGTAGTGCATGCCGTGGGGGAGGGGGGGGAGGCGATGATATCACGCAGAGCTCTGGCATAGATGGCGAGGAGGTCGCTAGTATTAGGCGTGTGAACGCTCATGATGCAAAGGTCGCCATTGGGCCGCGAGAGGTAAGATTTCAGAATGCGCCCTTCAACTGTGGGAGTGTGGACAATAGACGAGAACGACTTGCAGAGGGAAGGCTGGATGCACGCGAAGACGCCCCCTTCCCGAGTAGAGTCAGCGAGTAGCGAGTGACCGATCTCAAAAACCTCGAAGCTCACATTGCAGCTCATTGATATCAGCAACTTGACCATGACACTCTTGTGCACAAAGAACAGTGAGCTGCTTTGCGTACTTGAGGAAACGTGCGTAACGAGCAGGGGCTTTGACACTCTGACTGCGAACCGCTGCAAAGAGAACATAAGTGTTCCAAGAACCGATCTTCAGGGAGGAGGAGGGGAAAAAGGGGAGGGGCCCGACAACTGAATTACGAAGAGGCTGACCCTGGCTCGCAGCATCCACAGACAGGGGCACCTGCACATGGAGGGCCGCGCCCACAGCAAGGGGCACATCTTCAGCGAACGGAGCACCGCTAGGAGCCAGGGGGCCAGGCGGAGACACTTGCCCGACAGGGCTCGCAGCAACGTTGCACAGCTCTTGCTGTGGCCTGGCAGCTGCGCCCAAAGCCCTGGGCTCGCCTCGAAACTCCTCAAGAGGGAAGCGAAGCGTTCAGGTGGGCAATCCCGCCCTTGATCTGATCAAGGAGGGGAGTGACAGAGGCGTGAAACTCCGCAAACTGTTCAGGCTCATACTGAAGTGCGACCGCTGGTTTCACTCCACCATTGTCGATGGGGGCGTGGAAGAGGATGGCGGGGTCCTCGGGCGCACGAAGCACGTAGATGTCACCGCCGAGTCCGTTCGAGCCCATCTCCTTCTGTAGGGGTCGCATCGCCGCCGTCAAGAGCCCCCGAATCTTGCCCATGGCAAGGAAGAGGAGGCGAGTGCCAGGCTCCATGTCCCTCTTGGCGCGGAGCTCGATGAACTGGCCAGGGATGACAGGGTCGGGGAAGTGAATCGGTTGAGCAGCGACAATGTTGGTCAGAAAGTCCGAGGCTTTCGTCGAGTCTGCGAAGTCTAAGGTCACTTTCTTAGTCATATCAAATGCACGAACAACTGGCTGAGGCCGCCCTTGAGGTACGCCAGCTTGGAGAAATAAGCCTGCCGCAGTACGTAGGGTGGCTTGCATCATCTTGCGGGGGAAACCGACAATCACGATCCGATGCGCACGTTCCATGGCGGAAATTCGAGTCTCCGAAGATGGCTTGAGGGGCTTGGGGCTCTTCGTGATCTTGGAGAGCTGGTCTTCAATGGCGCTGATCCTCTGCTGCACTACGGTAGGCTGGGAGTCCATATCCATCCCTCCACCACATAAGGGCGTAGGAGTGCTTTCACAATGACAGAGCCTGCTATGCATATTGTCAATCTGCTGCTGTAGGTCTTTCATCTGCAGGTCGGCGTGGGCAGAGGACGATTGGACCTGGTTCGCAAGAGAGCTCATCTGGGTGGCGAGGTCCGCGCAGCGCTTGTTGGAAATCTCGACCTCCTGCTGTAGTTGGGCCATCTCCTGGTGTGAGGTGTGGACAACTCCCGTGAGATTCTTGATCGAGTCAAGGATGGAGTCGATTTTGTTTTCCATATTCATCACATTGGACTGGCGCGGGTAGATCTGGCGGAAACCATCATCATCGCTGTCAACGTTCCGACTGAGACTGTGGGAGTGCCTGTCACTGCTGCCACTGGATGTGATACGGCGTCGCGATGGTGACGGGCTGGAGGGCCTCCTGCGCTCGTACGACGGGCTGCTGGAGGTGTTGCGCAGAGGGCTGGATGACAAACGCCCCTTCGCTGCCTTCTTCTCGGCGCGGGTTGCCTTCGGATCCTTCTTCACACCTCTGGGGGCCATCGCGCAAAGGCAGACTGAGCGGCACGAGAGTAATTGTCACGGCGTGCTTTGGCGCACGACTGGAGAAGATTGCGAGGCCTAACCTCAAGACGCTCGGGCCAACCCCTTGGCAGCGTCCAAGTTCGAAGCGCCGGGGCAGCGTTTCTTGTTCCTTGTTGTTGTCACTGCGTTGTTGACACTGCCCTGTTGACACTGCGTTGATGCCACCGCGGTGTTGACACTGCTTTGTTCATACATTTTTTTGGCACCGCGTTGCTGACACTGCGTTGCTGACGCAGCGTTGTTGTCACTGCGTTGCTGGTACCGCTCTGTTGACGTGTATAACGCAGGTGTGTCGTACGTGTGTCATGCGTGCTGTGCCAGGCGTGGTGTGTTGTGCGTGGCGTGTTCTGCGTGGTGTGTTCTTCGTGGCGGTGTCTGCGTGAGGTGGTTTGCGAGGCATGTTCTACGTGGCGTGTTATACGCGGTGTGGCATGTGCAATGTGTTCGACGTGGTGTGTCATACGTGGTGTGTTATGCGTGGCGCGCTCTGCGTGGCGGTTCTGCATTGCGTGGTATACGTGGATTGCTACACGGAGTATGCACTACGCGGTGTGTCATGCGCGTTGTTGACACCGCGTTGTTGACAACGCGTTGTTAACACCTCCACGTAGAACACGCCACGCAGAAGTCACCACGTAGCAGTCGCCACGGGGCCACACGCCACGTGGAACACGCCACGCAGAAGTCGCCACGTAGTAGTCGCCACGGGGCCACGCGCCACTTAGAACACACCACGCGGCCACGCGCCACATAGAATGCACCGCGCAGCCACGCGCCGCGTTGAACACGCCCCGCAGCCACGCGCCACATAGACCATGCCGCGCAGAACCAGCCACCCAGCACACACAACGCACACACACACCACGCAGAACACACACACACACACACCACGCATAACACGCCGCACTAAACAAGCCACGCAGATATGCGCCACGTACAACACACACCACTTAGAACGCAAGGCGAATAATATACACCACGTAGAATACACGCCACGCAGAACACACACACACACACCACGTCGACACAATGCGTACAGCACGCACACACACACCACGTATAATACACACCACGCAGAACACACACACACCACGTATAATAAACGCTGCGCAGGACATACACCGCGTAGAACCCATACCACGCAGCACAAACACCATGCAGCACACACACACACACACCACGCAGAACAACCACCACGTAGAACACACGCCACGTAAAGCACACACCACGCAGACCACACACCACGCAGAACACACACAGACACACACGCACACTTCCACCACGAAGAAAACACACGACGTAGAACACTCACACACGACGTAGAACAAACACCACGCAGAACACACCACGCTGAACACGCACACACACACACACACTAAGTAGAACACACACCACGTAGACAAAATGTACACACTGCATCGAACTGACACCACGCAGAACACAACATGTAGACACACTGAGTACAACACACTGCGTAGACCACACTGCCTATAAAACACTGCGTAGGACACACTGCGTAAAACACTCCGCGTAGAAAACACTGCGTAGAAAACGCTGCGTAGACCACACTGCGAAGAACTGACTGCGTAGGACACACTGCGCAGAACACTCCGCGTTGAAAACACTGCGTAGAAAGCACTGCGTAGATATGCAAGTTCACTCTTAAGTGTTGCGTACCACTGTTTAGGCTACCCTTACCCCCGGAACGCCCTCAGCAAGGCGCAGCTGCAGGGAAGCATCCCGAGCCTCGAAAAGGTCTGGGAACCTACGAAGAAGACCGAAAACCTCAAACCTTGAACTTCAGACCTCGAGGGTGTTCTTGACGAGCGAGCAAGACACACCCATACCCGTAATGGAAGCGGAGGAGGCTGTCGGTGCGGGCTCCCGCTCGAAGGGGAGCCTCCCCGGGGCCGACAACCCCCACCTATCTCCATTCCTCCCTCCGACCCCCCTATGGGTATGGGCGTGTATCTTGCCATCGCTCGGACGTCCATTCCCCGTGCATTTGTCGGTTGCGTGCGCTTGCTCTTCGCAAGATGGTCCAGGATGCTCCTCGATGGCCCTCGCCAAGAAACGCGCACACGTCCGAGCGACGCCGAGGTACCATTCCCTCGTCCGTTGCCTCCCTGGCGTCGGATCTCTGGCCCGCGGAACCGCCGCCCCGCCTCGGGGCTGCAGCGCCGCGGCGTGCGCTCCTGGCGCGAGACCGCCGACCACGCCGCCGATCGGCGTGGCCGCGCGCGGCCCCCGCACCTTTGGGGAGGGGGAGAGTGTGGAGGCGAATGCCGTGGCATCGCCGAGGCAGGGCGGCAGCGGGAGCGCCGCGTCCCTCGTAGAGCGACGAGATCTACACACGGGCGACGCCGGAAACCCTGAACCCGAAAAGTTTGCCATTTCCCGGGAGGTCGACTTTTGCTTCCTTTCTTTTCACAGCTCTGCGCCCAACTATTCGGGACGGACGCTTCGTGTGGGGCCTGGTAAAAGTCTACCGGACATCGGCGCACGATATGGCTGCTCAGATCGAGAGTGAAGGCCCTCGGAGGCTACGCAAGGGGGCGTCGGAACGGGTACAGAAAGGCGGTCGCCTCTCAAGCTCCGCAGCTCCACCCCTGCGCGCCCCCGCGTCTGCGGAGGCGGCACTGCAGAAGAGGCGCTCCGAGCCCCCTCTGGGGCGGGCCGGCCACCTGCAAGGCCGAAATTTTGCTTGTAGCACACGCATTGGAATCGCTAACACTTGCGGGCAGTAGAGGAAAGGATCGCCTAAAGTATAAGCTGGAGGCGCATCCCTTCAGGGCGGGGCCCGAAAAAGTCCAAAAACGGGCTGTGTCTTTCCATTCGTAGCGAGACATGCCGTAGACCAGCGCTGTCTCGAGGCGCACAGTTTGTTCCATAGCAAAGCCTACTCAACATACTGAGCACCGTCGGGCGCAGGGAAGGGTGAAATTACGAGTCGATGCGAAGTCACAGAGGATCGGAAAGTGTTGCCGAAAGTGGCGCACATGATGGCTGAGTCTATGTCCTTGGCGAAGCAACGACGGCAACTGAGGAACACATGATCTCCAACGACGTACCGCACGTAGCACGACGAGGGCACAACGCCTCCCCATTGCCCTTGCTCCTCCCAGTAGCTCGAAATCGTTATGCACGCAGCACTTGGAAGTTCAGACCAGTTGGGCGGTTGGTCAGCGCTCACCTTACCGACAGGGAGCGACGCGTGGGTGCACCACCGAATCATCACAGCAGGGGTGCCCAAATCGTACTCGACCAGAGGTTGCTCTCTGCTGGGTGTACTTGCGATGGCCTCGTCATCCTTGGCAATCGCAGCAGCACCTTGGGTCTCGATATGGTTGGTCGCAGCGTTGTTGGGGATCAGGTACGGCACGGGCGAGAGATGCAAAGAAACCATTGCGCGCGGTCAGGCTGGGAATCGCGACCCAGCTCGAAAGGGAACGGCAGTGGTAATCCTTGCGCCGAGAAGGCTTGACTTTTGCTTCCTGGAGCGCCCCACATGTCCACTGCTCCCTGGCCAGATCAATCCTGAACCCACCAGCGGTGCACACGCCACGCCACCCCGGCTTGGGGCCCGACCAGGCGGCGGCGGACATGCACAGGTTTCGTCAGCCGATCCCTCCGCACCAGCGCTGCCAGGGGTGCCACCTCTAGCGAGGAGGTCAACGATGCCTCCACGAGCTGGGGATAGGGGGCGCCTCGTACGGGGAAGGGGGACCACACCACATTTTGCCCGTCGCTTCCCTTGACGGGGCACCAACTGTGCCAGCGACGCGGAAGCGGCGGTCCTCCTCCTCCTCCTCCTCCTCCTCCTCCTCCTCCTCCTCCTCCTCTTCTTCCTCCTGCTCCTCCTCCTCCGCCTCCTCCTCCTCCTCCTCCTCCTCATTTGGCTCAAGCGATTGCAGGCCTTCTGGGATCGTACCGGAAGGACAAAGGAACTGGGGACTCAACAGCGTTGCTCGGCGCTGCGATCCGCGCGGCGACTCTGGCGAAGGTTCCGCGGAGGACCGTGCAGGCGGTGGCGGCGGCGGCGTGCGTCCTCGTCCACGTGCCGCCTGCAGCCCGCCGCAGCGTGGCGGCCGCGGAACCTGTCAAAGAGGTGATGGCGAACGTGGAGTTGACGAAGGCGGGTTGGCTCATCGGCGGAAGAGCTGGTGGCGGCGCTGCGCGAGGCTCGACGGCTTCGACGTGAGTGGAAGCGCGCGAGGCGGCGTGGGCGGAAGCACCTTGGTGAGACCTTGGACGACAACTCAATGACGCTGGGCGGCTTCGGTGGCGGTGGAGGCGCTGTTGTTGGGCCGCCTGTTCCGCAGGACTCGGCGATGGCGGCGGAGCTCAGCGATGACGCCTGAGCCGACGCCCTGCCGCCGCGCCGCGTGAGTGCGCGGCAGCAGCCGACAGTGCCTCCGGCTGGTGCTGCGAGCTCATCGGCAACGAAGGGGGTCGTGGACGTGGAGCCTGGGGCGGGGCCGTCGGCGCCCGCAGCGGGCGACGCGGTTGCCGTGGAGGCCATGATGACGTAGCTCGGGGTCCCCGCTCAGGTCGCATGTCTGGCAGCGCTGCAGGCCCAGATCGACGCTCTCGGAGGGCGACAAGGAGGTGGCGAAGTGCGTCGTCCTCGCCTTCGCTGCCAGAGGCTGCAGATGGAGGGCGACTCCTTCATCCTCCGGATAGCCGCCGTCATGTTCCACGTCGGCGCCTCTTGGTCCGTCGTGACGCCGCACTGGTTGCGGACCAACACGCCCAGCGACTTTCCGCTTCCCTGCGCAGGGAGAAAGCGTGGGCGGTGTTCCGGCGCCGCCAAACGCAGTCTGGAGGGGCGGGGGTAGCAGCGGCCCGCCTGGCCGCGGCCACAGCTGCCTCCACAGCTGACGCCGTGTGGAGTGCCCCCAGTGCTGCCTAGCGCCCCCCGCCGATCCCCCCGCCCTTGCTTGGCAGCACGGGCGCCCCCCGCGCCCTTCCGCCACCGTCGCGCCGGCGACCCCTTGCGCGCGCGCGCCGTCTGGCCCTTCCCCACCAAGCCGCACCGTGCTGGGTTCGGTCGGCCACCCCGCCCAGGTCGCCGCCGTAGGGTCCGTAGCCTCGTCGCGGGTGGCTATTCGTTCCCGGCCTCTGGCCTGGCCGGTCTGCTTACGCTGAGCAAATTCTTATGGTGGGGGGCTTAGGGTGAAATACATATGGCCTTTTACACCTCGAAAATCAATCCGTCTTACAATTGAACGACTTTGGAAATAAAGCTTATGTTGTGTAGCAGCCTGTGTATATGCATCTCCTGGCTTCTGCTACGACGTCATGATTGCGCCCGCCCGTGATCAGGCCCCGCTGATGGCTCGCACCAGGTAGTCCTTCAAACAACGCTTTGCCGCCCCGCCGATGTCACTCGTGGGTTTTTCGTGTCTCGGCGAACCCACTCTCAGCGCATCTGCGGATGGCAAGCGGGCGCGAACTCTCTTGACATTGTATTAACTGTTTTTCCATATGTTGCTGGCGCCCCGTCCCTGATTGTCCCGGTGGTTCGCAATTGGTTGGTTGGTTCGCTGGTTCGTTGGCTGGCGGGTTGAGTGTTGGGCTGGGTGGTTGGATGGATGGTTGGTTGGGTGGCTGGCTGACTCCCTGGGCCCCCGACCACGCGACTGGCGCCAGACACGTGAACGGGCACGCGACTGGCGCACGGCAGGTGTACGAACACGCGACTGGCACCCGACGGGCGAAACAGCACGCGACTGGCGCCCGAAAGGTCAATTCATAATATTAGAATCGTTTGTTGTTTTATAGAATTCGCCTTCGTCGTTCTAGAACTGTTTTGTCCGTTAAGAATTTGTTGTTGATTGTACTTCGTACTATGTAAATGCTAGATTTTGGTTTCGCGTTCTAGAATTCATTATTTCTGCTGTTCTAGAACTCGATTTGCAGTTCTACAATTTTCGTCCTGCGTTCTAAAATTTGTTTTGTTCTTCTCAAACCGCCTCCGGCCGGTTGGCAGGAAGCGCGTGGGGAAAACGGCGGGGGTTGGGATGCGGGGGCCCATCGCAAGGCGGCGCGGGTGGCCCCGAGTGGAGCCCCGAGCGGGTTTCGGAAGAAAGCGTGCCCACGTTTGCGGGGCCATCGTGCTCCAGCTTGGCGGCATGGGGGACAGGGGCCTGGATTGAGAGAGGGCGACTCCAATTGAGGTGCTGGCGACGACGCGGGCGTGGTCAAGGGACGATTGCACGCAGATCCCAAGAAAGTGATGCGTCACCTGGTCGCTGCCATTAGCGATTAGCGCGGGCGGGCGGATGATGATCATGCGGGGGTTGGAGGGGCCACGGGGAGAACGGGGGCAAAGGAGGGAAACGATTAGCCTTGGAGGAGATGCAGGCGGAGGCGGAGGCACTGATGGGGGTGGAGGCGGAAACGGGAGCGCAGGAGGCGGAGGAGGAAAGGGCGGGGGAGAGGGGGGGGAAGTTGACGGGTGGCGATGTTGTGGGAGAGACGGCATTTCATTTTCCACCCTTTGCCATCCACCAAAAGAAATTGCTCGGTTACGCTTGCTTCCCCCCCCTGCTCCTTGTCCTCCTCCCCCCTCCCCTTCTGCTCGTTGCTTCCGTCCCGTTCCTTTCCTCCTGCACGTGAAAGTGAAAGCCGGGGCCTTCAAGGCTCGATGGGGGACACCGTACCAATACTCACCAAAAACGGGAAGGCCCCCACGGGTCAGGGCAGGCGGGGGCGGGCCAGCCGACTGGCGTGACTTAGGGCCCCCCCAGACGCCAAGCCCCCCTAGAGCACGGCATTCGGGAATCACGAAAAGCCCGCGCTCAACCAGAACGAGCAAGTGCGCTGCCAATAAGATAAGAACAGGCACTGCACTCGATCAACCTGTAGACCAGAACGAGCACGCAAACTGCCTCGGAGAGAACAGATACTACACTCGATCAAACGGACCTGAACGAGCAAGCGAAATGCAACCGATGACAAGAACAGATACTACACTCATTCACTCGCTATCCTCGGACCTGGCTCCGAGGCGGTCCGTGCGGCGGCGCGCCCGCCTGCGCTCGACCGCGCTGATGGCGGCCTCCGCGCGGGCAGCCAGCTCGCCCTCGCTCAGGCCGCAGGCCGCCAGGAGGTCCTCGCGAGCCCCAGCTCCACGGCCGCCTGCCGCTGCAGCGGGGGCCTCAGGCGCAGGCTCGCCGCTGGCTCCAGGCGCCCCGCCGCCGCCGCCAGGCGAGGCCAGAGCGTCGGCAGCGGCCTCGGCGCGCGGGCGCGCGGCCGCCCGCCCGCTCGCTCCTGTGGCCCCGCTGGAGCTGGCCGCACTGGCCTCCCCACCGCCTGCCGCTGGCTGCTCGGCCACGACCCCGAGCCGCTCCCGGCAGCGCTCCTGGGCGTCCGCAGGCATTGTCCCTTGCGCGCGAAGGCTGGGGATGGCCAGGTCCTTCTGGCGCTGATTCGCCGACCTCGGCCTTCCTCCAGGGTGGGGCCCGCGCCCCCACGGGCTGCGCTGGCTGCGCCCGCCCTCGCCCGTCTTGTCGGCCAGGAAAGGCTCCTTCAGCCGCGGCTTGGCCCCCGAGCGGCCGCCCAGCACCATGTGGGCGCCGCGCTTGGTGCAAGCCACCAGCTCCTGGGTCTGCTCGCTGTCGCCACTGCAGGCGTTGCTGAGGGCATGCCCGAGGATGCTGGAGGCCGCCGCGCCGGCAGAGAGGGCCGCGGCGCTGCCGGCTGAGCGGGCGCTCTCCAGGCGCGGCCTCTTGGGCTCTGGGCCCTCCCCCACCTGGTCAGCGGGCGGGGCCTGCGCGTCTGGCGGCGCCTCGAAGCGCACCGGACCTGCCGTCGCTCGCCAGCATCAGGGAGGCTTGCCATCCTTGCCGGCGCCCTGCCAGATGACCGCGGCCTCGCCAATCCACCGCGCCAGCTCGTGGACCACCTCGGCAAGCGCATGGCGTTCGCCGATGGCCTGGCGGCCCACAGCATGCAGCCGGGCGCCCATCTTGGCGAGGCGGTCCGCGCGGTCGTTCCCGCGCCGCTGGGCTTCCGCGGGGCGCCCGTCCAGCACGGCCTGACGGTTGCAGTGCGCTGGCGCCTTCCGCGCTGCAAACGAGCCTGGCTCGAAGGCCGCGTGGGCCCTGCTCCAGAGGTGGGCGTTGGCCCTGTTGGGCGCTGCGGCGCAGGCTCGGCCCCGGATAAGCTGGCCCTGCATAGTTGGCCAGCATCCACACCGCAAAGTCCTTGCCGCCCTTGGCCGTCTGCTGCGGGCAGAGGTCGCGCCTCGCCGTGCCGCAGACGCCCGCGACCAGGTTCCCGTCGTCGTCGCACTGCGCAGTGGCCCAGCCAGCTCGGCGGAGGGAGCTGAAGTGTGGCTCGAGGGCCGAGCCATCCAAGTACGGCTTCCAATTCAGCCTGTCGTCAGGCGGCCTTCGGATCCACCGCGCGCCCATGGCATCTGCGCGGCGGCCCTGCGGAGGGGGAGGGGCTGGCAGCCAGCAGCGTGCGAAGTTCTCTCCTGTGGCCTCGCCCCGGGCACGAACCCGTTCAGCGCGCCGTGCGAGTCGAGGAGACACGCTGTCCCTCCGCTGGGCCGCCAGCATGGGGCACTCGAAGAGCCTGTGCCAGAGGGTGCCACGCGCCGCCCCGCAGCAGCGGCACCTGGCGCGGCCGCGCCCCCGGGCGTCGCACAGCCTGGCCTGCGCCCAGTGCGCGTTGGAGATGTAGGCGACCAGCACATGCTGCTCGCGCTCGCTGAGGCCCCCCCCGCACCCCCCGGTCCGAGCAGCGGCGCGATGGCGCCCCAGAAC